CGGGCCCACCCGGGGGCAAAGGGGGCCGGGGGGCCCCACGGCCTCCAAATTCCGATACGAAAGTTCCTATAGGTTCTACAAGGTCTAGGATGCACGTCCTACAAGTTTGGTCCAGATCGGACGGTCGGATCGCTCACGATCGCACGATCGGACGGTTACTATAAACTTAACCCTAGGGTCGGCATTTTTGGAGTATCCGGGACTTTGTTTTGCAATCCGTCGAATCCTACACGATTCTAAGGATCTCTAAATTAACATATTATAACTTGGAGTCAATCCAACGGTCCGAACCTATCGAACCCGGATAACGCATAATAGGCGATATCCGTTTGAGACTCAAACAACGTCCGAATCGAGATCTGCGACTTCCTACGCACTCGTTACAACCTGAGGATCTCCTCGGAAGGCATTGCAGCTCCACCACTCTTGCCCACGCGCCGGCAGCGCTTGGGTGTGTAGAGTAAATTCCAGCAACGAAAAATCTCCACATCTCGGCTCAAGACTCCTACCCTAGGTGAATCACTATATTTGGAGTCACTTTTGTTCTTGAGCATACCCCAAAAACTGACCGAAAATGACCGGAATCTCCCCTTGAAATCCGGTCGAAATCCAATTCGTAAATCGAGTTGCCTACTCTACAAATTGATCAATTCCTACCCAACAGGCAGCTAGATCTCGGAAAATAGGTGAGAAACCATACCTCACTTGCCAGAATCGGTGGCCGGACGACGGAGAACGAAGCCGACGAAGTTTCTGTCAAAATCGGAGCTTTTCTCCTCGTTTTCCGGCGAAATCACGGCGGCTGGCGGCGGGACCTGGCTGGGGTAGGAATAGGACGGCGGCTCGGTCATTTTGGTACCGGCCCCGTCAACTTTGGTGGCCGGATGAGCGAACGGTCGGCCAAAACGTGGCCGGCTGTGCTGCTGTCGTGCGGAGGAGAGAGAGAGGCTGCGCGAAGGAGAGAGAGAGAGCTGAGGGTTATTTCTGACTTTTAACCTTTTTGAAATATTTACGGTTTTGCCACTGAGGATATTTGGAACGTATCTCTCTCGTTACAGCTCCGATTCGAGCCCACTACGCGTCTACAGATTCATCTCGCCGCGATCTACACTATGGTACAGCCGAAATTCCCAAATTCCTTCTGAATAATAAAATGACTAAAATACCCCTATCCCACGGGTAAATTCGTAATTTCACTGAAATTATTTAAACAAGGGATAAAGTTGGAGTCGGGGTGTTACAGCCTCTCATGGCCGAGCTCCCCAACGATTTCCAGCAACCTCTTATAGCTCCCAGCGAGTTCCAACAACCCTTCGTGGTTGCACATGCATTCCAGCCGCCTCTGAGAGCTTCACAACTGAAATGCAACCACAGTCGCTTGGGCCCACAAGGAAGTATCCATTCTAGACTGGGCCCACAAAGAGCACTATTTCATGAACAATTGCTTGGCAAATGCAACGACCAACGCTCACTAACCCACTTAAGAACCAACTCAAGACGATAAGCTTAATCTACTAATCTGCCCCACATCAGGACAACGAAGAAGGTCGACCCTTGCAAAACAACGAGGAAGTCAATTAGCATCGCCCAAATCATGAAGCTCATCGATGTGACCCTAAAGTCGTGAGTGCAGAGGATGTTGAGAAACTCATGAACAACCGACTTCGAGATTTGAAGATCAGATAAG